TCCCTAAGCCAACCACCGCTTGTAGATGAGCGAGCAGACGGAGGGCTGCTGGCTGACGTCAGACTGCGTTCACCGGTTTAGACAAGAGGAAGACAACCCTTGATTCACGGAGCTCGAATATCGAAAATCCAACTTGAAACTAACTTCACTGCGGTTAAAAACCGGTATGTTTTCTAAAGTACAGTATCTGACTACATCCTCCTACACTGTATTTAGCATAAAAGTGGCCATTCACCCAATTTTGGGTACAATTTTCAGTACTGTATCATCCACCTCATTTATTTGAAGCCCACCGTGATCTAAATCTGATTTATAGTGTAGTGTGGGCATGTGTGCCCAGGAGTTATATCCTCAAATGTGATTGGACTATGAATGTAGCCATGCTCCTCAATTTCCAACCAAATGGAGGCTATAAATACACCAGTAAACATGCCAATTATATGATAATCCGATTTATGTCGGGTGTCTTGAAAAATCAACTTCCTCCCACGGCCACTACCAGTGGCCAATCACAGCACACCAGTCTGCTGTAAGTCTCTGCCACTTCCTGTGGGAACAGACCTGAAGCAAATGAACATAAAAAAAACCCTAATTTTTCTTTACAGTGTCAAAGCGACAACCAAAATGATTTATTTTCCAGTTATTTTGAGGGAATGTTCAGCGTTCACTATCAGACAGTTTTAGGATCTTCTGGATTAGAGGAACTGTACACGAGGGCACCCAACCCTGGAACACTTCAGTCATTTCTTTGCTTATGTTGTATAGATTTTTCTGTCGTGCATTATGTGTTTAACTCAAGCTGCGAAGTATCTGAGTGTTGACTCACAGTCTTCTTTTGCACACATGTTTAGAGTACAGACTGCAAAGAGGCCCTCCTACACGACGTGTGTCAAATGAATCTGTCTGTTGTTTGGTATTTTATCAGTGATCCAAGTCGGGACGTTTGTGTGTGTGTGTGCGTACATGTTTGTGTGTGTCTATGAGTAGAAATTCAGCGAACTCATATCTAACAGAGGCATGGTGTCACTTTATTACAAAGTTACATTTAGTTAAAAACAGGCTGTCTAATGCTGTACAATTACATTAAGGGGATATTCGAGTAATTTTTGAATGGATGTTCTTATCAAATTATCAACTTATCAGTCAATGTGCACAGAACTGGCTGGTGGCTGAGAAACAACTTAGTGCATTTCCATCAACTGTAGTGTTAGCAGTGTGTTACGAACAGGTAAAAAAGACAGTTGCTTATCAAAATGGTCGTGGCAATGAAAGGCAGCATGTGTAAAATTTTAAAATAAAATCACACAGTGATTAATATATATACTGTATATATTTTTTCAATTGTCAAAGTTAGGTCAGAACTGATTTCATGGTTGAGGTTGTTTTTACCATGTTTGAACTCTGGTCATTAATGAAGCATTTGTGTAGATCTAAAGTACATTCAAATATTATACTCTGTCAACATTTGTGTTTTATACAGTTATTTCAGTCTACAGAGTAGTCCTCCTCCCTCTTCACGCTGGAAGAACAAAAATCAGCCAGAATATCAGGCCAGTGTCTGCAGGATTTTGGTAGCAAGTTAAGCATATGGTAGACTCCCTGTGATAGAGCATGAGAGATTGTGCAGGGTTCGAGTGCGTACAAAAGTTCACAGCAAGGTTGTTGTGGTTTATTATATTGAGATGTCAGCACATCAGAGTCCTGCATGAAGCTTGATGGCAAAGTATGCATAAAGTGTGGCTGCTGTAGCATGGTTGTTAAAAATATGAATCAGGACTGGTCATACTGGTCCCGTGCCTAGGCTACTATCCCATCATGCCCACTTCAAGCTGGCAGGGCTTCAAGTAAGTTACTGCAACACTTTTAGAGATACAGCTGTTATGTGTATTGCACATCGCCATTTGTATTATATTTACTACTCAGGATTCTCTGACCTATATATTATCTTTGTGATCAATATTTACCTCAAAAACCATTATGTGAGACCTGTATTCTGCCCTCTGGTGGATTATTAATGTACTGCAGGAAGTGGAACTTCTTTTTTTTTTTTTTTTGCCTTTTCATAATGCCTGCTGACATGAGGTCATCCACACATTTTATTCAGGAAAACTTTTGCTAATTTTGGAGAAGTTATGGTAAGAATAACATCAGTATTGTTTGTAATTTTTAATAAATACTTTCTGTGTTGAAACAATGCATAATTACTTTTAAATATTTTTTTGCCTTTTCATAATGCCTGCTGACATGAGGTCATCCACACATTTTATTCAGGAAAACTTTTGCTAATTTTGGAGAAGTTACAGTAAGAATAACATCGATATTGTTTGTAATTTTTTTTAAATAAATACTTTCTATACATAATTACATAATTATAACAAATACAAATGTGACATTTTAGTAATTTAATCAACAGTATTCTTGCCACAATACAACCACACACTATTTTGGATGATTGATTAATTACTGAAAAGCCATTTGAAAACATATTTTGGCTATTTTCAAAGTGGTTTCCTTTGAAATTATAATATCTACGCTGAACTACTGACTAATTATTTATGTGTGTGTTTTTAAATGTCAAGGAGAATTGAGGAAGAAGAGAGAGAAAACAGAAAGTAAGAAAATGTCATCAATATGATAATAGATGCCATTTTTTAAATAAAGTATAAGGTACATCTGTGCCTGAACAAGGACAGAAACTGTTTTTGTGCTTACCACGAAGTGAAATAAATGGCTGTAAAACATTCATTGTAAAATAACACAAATAAGTAAACTTCCTAGAGTGCTCTAAACTTGTTAAAAGTTATGGACAAAACTGTCTTTTGTTATTTAATTTAACTTTGTTGTGAGCAAAATGTTACCAAAACAGCCCAGTGTATCAGATTTGATACAAAAATATCATAAACAAAGTGATGTGGCAAAAAAAAATTTTTCTGGATTTTTTTTAAAAGGCTCAATAAACATGTCAGTTCTAAAAAAAAATGTGAATTTTCTGACTATTTTTTAAAGGGTCAGGCTTTAAAGGGTTTTAAATAACTATCCGCCACCACACTCTCACCATGTGCTTGCAGGTAACAGTCCACATTTTCCATGTACCAGTAAACATTTTGCACTACCTTTCACCATACTCAGTCCTCTTTGTGCTTTTTGAACACAAAGCAAAAAGCTCTTGTTCTCATCATAATCAGGCCTGCTGGAGGAGAAATAAACAAGGGTGGATGTGGTTGAGGTTTTGCACAGGAAGCTCTTTTACCTGCATTTACTCTTGCTGTCATAAAGCAGCATTCGTTGCAACATTCTTTTAGCACAATACCATGGCTTTACCCAAAAAGCACTATGACGCTTTTTTAGTGTATATTCCCTCTCAGCATAGCTGTTGTCATCTGAACTTGATGATCTTTATATACACTAGATGTATTACAGCTTGATTATACATTGTTGTAGTACTCAAGACCACTTTTTGATGGTCTTGTATTTGGGTGTAGAAAACAAAATATATGAATAAACTACACATTCTCACTCCCAAGTCGTCACATATTGACGCTTAAGGTAAGGTTCCCTCTACGTCTTATTTTGACGCATCAGGTACCCCCCTCGTGTCACTCCTTGACGCCCGCGGCTTTTCCGGGTTTCGCCACCAGGGGTCTTTGGGTCGAGGGTCTGAGGTTAACATGAGGGATCAGGATTAATGGTTAAGTTTAGGTACTGGGATCAGGGGTAGGATGTCCATGGTGAATATTAGGTAATTCCAGGCTTTGGAACATGTTTTACTACGGTCAGGGACAGGATGTCTAAAGTGAACAAAGGTAATTTCAGGCTTCGAAACGGTAGTTTTTGCGCATTTTCTACTCTTTCTGAAAATATGACAACAGCTTTCGCCCCATCTCGTCAGTAACTGACGTGACGGGGTACCCTGCGCGTCAAAATCGGACGTAGAGGGAACCTTGCCAAAGCGTCAATATGTGACGACTTGGGAGTGAGAATGGGTTGGAATAAACTGGCCTGTCTGAAAATGTGATAAGAGCTAGTTTATTTTACATTATAAAGTGAATCATGTAGCTCAATCATTACATTACTGTCTGCCATTAGCAAGTCTTCATCATAATTTATGAACTATTATACAACTAGTAAGTGCTTCA